GTTGAAATGAAAGCTGAATTTAGCTTCAATCCTCTCCTTGTCTTTGTTCCTCTACAGAAACTTGAATAGCATTTTCCACGTGTGTATGTGAATGTTGTGGCAGTGTAGAGTTCAACACATTGAGACAGAATTCAAGATTTTCCATGGGAACTTCTTTCCAGAAGAGCTGCTTTTCTGTCCCCAGAAATTCCTAAGGTCATAACATCAACCATACGGCAACATTCGAAGGCAACATGCGGCAACATTCGAAGGCAACATGCTGTGATAGCATAGTATTGAGAGCACAACATGTCTGTACAGAGCTTACAGTCAACTCCACCTCCACTATCAGTGTTCCCTCTGTCTTCATTATATGGTTGTGTACACACTTGTATCTCCTCTCGAAAGAGTATAAGCTCTTTGAAACCTTGACTTGTCTTATTCAACTTTGCCTTGCCTAGTGACCACCTCAAGTCACAGCATGTCTACCAGGGTGTCCAAACTTTTGGCATCTCTGGCCATACTAGAAGAAGAAGAGTTGTCTTGGGCCACACATTAAATACACAAACACTAATGCAAACTGATGAGCAAAAAAAAGGTTTCAAGTAACTTTACAATTTTGTGTTAGGTTGCATTCATAGCCATCCTGGGCCACATGGGGCCTGCCAGTGGTGGGTTGGGCACCTCTAACCCACTGTAGATATTCAGCAAGTATTTGTTAAGTTAAAAAAAAATACCTGGTTAATCAGAATATAAAGATAACCTTATTTATTATATAGTAGGGTTCCCTAAACTCTAGCAGCTCACTCATATTAAGGTAAGTGATAAGGCCAGAAGGCATAGGAGGGGACCCTACAACATCAGATTGTAGCTATCATATCATTTATTGCACATTTTCAAGGAAAGTCTGCATGGTATAGTGGTTAAGAGCATGAGCTATAAGCCATACTACCTGGGTGTGAACCTTGTGCAAGTCATAAGACCTTGAACACATAACCTAATTTCTCTGTGCATCAATATTCTCTCATCTACAAAGTAGAATAATAATCTGAAATGCTATCTAATAGCATTGTCATAAAGATTTATTGAGTTAATACGTGTAATGCACTTTAGAATAGCACGGGTACATCAGAAGTACCTAATCAGAATATATTCTTATTTTATACTCTGCTAAATTTTTATATAAATATAATGGGGAGCAGGGTAGTACTTGGCCATAGGAAAGAAATGCAAAGGCTATTAAGGATGGGAATGTTAGGAAAATATCCAGAAATGTGACTGTAATATCCAATTTAGGCCAAATAACTTCTTTAGGCAGAAAAATATTCCTGCCATGAGGTGTGAGGCTGAGGTGCTGTGTTCCTGATGGAACCTGCTTGCCTGGGTGGGGGATCAACATGTCTCTCTTGGTGGTGAAGTGGCCTACCTTTTTTTTTCTAAAGATATTATTAATCTATTTTTACAGGGGAAGGGAGGGAAAAAGAAAAGGAGAGAAACATCAGTATATGGCTGCCTCTCGCATATCCCCCCCTGGAGACCTGGTCAGCAACCCAGGCATGTGCCCTGACTAGTAGTTGAACCAGCAACCCTGTGCTTCACAGTCCAGGGTTCAATCCACTGAGCCACACCAGCCAGGGCCAAAGTGGCCTACCTCTTGAAGTCATTTTTGTAAGTATGGCCAAGTTGTAGGAAAAATTGTATCACAAAAAATCACTTCAAGTCAAATGAGTTATATGTCCTATTAAGAGTATTTGTAAGCAGGTTGGTATTTATTTTTAGATTTTATTATTTATTTATTTTTAGAGAGCGGGGAAGGAAGGGAGAAAAAGAGGGAGGGGAACCTTGATTTGAGAAAGAAACATCAATCAGTCGCTTCTCATACACACCTGGACTGGGGACGGAACCCACAGCCCAGGCATGCACCCTGATGGGACATGGAACCAGCGATCTTTCACTTTGTGGGATGACACACAACCAGCTGAGCCACACTGGTTAGGGCAGCAGCTTGGTATTTTAAACCATATGATGAGATTGATTTTTCTTAGTACATAAAGTTTATAATGTGTAGTGATGATGTGGAGTACTTTAAACAGGATTTAAATATCAGTGATCTAAAGGGCCACTTCTTTTAATAATGGAGACATATGTTCTTTAATTAATGGACTGTAAGACTTTTACTTTCTCAGAAAGCAAAGATTTGGACATTCACCTGTATATAAAGCAATAATGTTAGGCAAAGAAAATAATATTCCTAATAGTAAAACATTATGAGGTTAACAATGATAGAGGCATATCATCAGAGGGAAACATTGATTTGTGAGCAAAAATGATTCATCAGGCATCGGAAGTGATGACTTATAAAGGTAATTATGGCACTAGACAAAGCCTTTTGGGATAAATATATTTTCTTTGATTCATGTCAGTCACTCTTTCTCACTTAAGATTACATGTGTCTTTGAGAGCCACTTTACTACAAAATACGTGAGGGTCAAAGTAACAAGAAGGGTTACAGTTTTCCAGTAGAAGATAAAATATAATAATCTTCCTTCCCTACATTGTCAAAATCCTTCATGTTTAAGGATATCAGAAACCTTTAGTTAGCTACAATGAACTGTTGACTTTATCAGAATACTGTAACATGAAACCTTGCAAAGTGAAGCAATCTGTTTTAAAAACAGTTCATTACGTGGCCAGTTCCCAACTATTTTTTATAGCAGTACAGCTACAAATATTTGAAAGTTGAAATGTAATTTTTATTTCTTTACCTTTATTAAATTATTCTATATCTGGGTTCTTACTGTAGGTCACCTCAATGCCAGTTTTTAAGATGGTCAGAATATTATCCATACATATATTTTTCAGAGATTTTTATTTCCCAAAGCCAAATTGGATATTCTTTCATAACCATGGCCTAACAATGAGTGCAAAGTAAAGTACTATAATTCTCAACAAAATTTTCCTGCTATTTAATAGTCTGCCCTTAGTATCCTAACTTCTGCCTACAAATTGGTTTAAAAATGTTCATTCTTAACTCACAAAGTTGCTGGAAGGGTACAACCTGACAGTAGATATCAATAAGTTTTGCTAGGAGAAATGTTTTATAAATGCTTTGGCATTCTTATAATTAGTTATGTTGTTATTATCTGTCATGGAATTTTGTGCAGTTAACATTCTATTCAAATTTTATTACATGCTTGGTGAAAAAGTAAATACATTGCTTGGTGTTACCTGTAGTTTTGGAGGTGTGTGTGTGTGTGTGTGTGTGTGTGTGTTTAGGTGTGTGATAATTTGTGTTAAGGCATAGGCCTTAACACAAATTATCAACTTCTATATCAGAGATCAGGTTCTATGGGTACATAGAAGTGATTTTCCTTACTACAGCAATTGTAGTAAATTGGCTCCCAAACTGATATTTATTCTTGTGATCTATTTGTAAACTATTTATTCTTGTGATCAGGAGAAGTTGTATTAGGCCCAAACTCTGTATGCTGGACTGATTCCAGTTTTGAACTGTGTGACATGGCTAAATATCTGCTTGAAAAATGTAATTCAAACGTAGAATGAGACTCCACAGTGAACCCCTCACTAAAAAAAATGGCCAGCTTATTTCTAAATGGCAATCCCCAACTGTCACATCACATCAATCATGTGACATAGTAAATCTGACTCCCATTGAGCAGGAATGTACTTTAAAGGTCAGGTATCCTGGTGAAATTTAGCTCAGTAAGTTGTGCAGCAAAAATGCCTAAATCAGAGCACTGTGGTGGCATCGGCAAAAATAGTTGCTCTTCAAATAGCAAAGGGGAGGAGAAAATGGAAGATTTTTTTAAGGTTAAAGTCTTTTGCCTATGCACATTTCCTAACGTTTCTGCCTGTATCTCAAAAAGTTGAATAAAGAAATGGGGTTGGAGATTTTATAGAAGGTGCACACCGGAGTCCTACAAGCACAACTTATTTGGCCTATATTTTAAAAATTGGGCAAATACCATATTCTTAAAATCATCCATATTTCTGACTTCTCAAGGAACTGGAACCTTTGGCTACAGTGGTCTTGTATTCACATGGGAGAGAAGCAGGCTGGAGCTGAGAATCAGTTCCTCTCTTTACACATGCCCTGCAACTTGCTACTCTGTATCCTGCCCTTACTCACTTCACTCCGCAGGCACAGACACCCGCAGTTCATAAAATGGGTGCAACGGAACTTTTTTTTCTTTTTTTTTAATGAACAAATCTCTCTATTAAATAAATGGTGGGGTGGGGGGACGGAGGAAGCCAATGATGGTTTGTTTCCAAACAATCCTAAGTCTCCCGTTTTGCAATGATCTGATCCAAACCTACTTCTCCAGTATGGAACTAAGCGTGGAAGGATGGACGTTGTCGTCCAGCTCTGCCACAAACCCTCTGTGTGACCTTGGGCGAGTCCGTTAAGCTCTCTGGGCCAAAGGTGACGGTATGTAAACGGTCTTAATACCTGTTGTGAATATCTCTCACGGCTGTTGCGCAGCACACGTGAGGCTTTGAAAGTACACCTAATTTATGAACCGCAAAACGCTTCCCAGCACAGGCGTCTGTGAGAGTGCGACACTGGTTTTAGAAGTCGGTTACGGGAATCCGCTCTAGTTCCGTGCTGCCCCTATCTCCCACGCTCCGGGTGGGCGAGCGGAAGACGAATCACAAGGGAGATCTGGAAAACTGGCTTAGAGATGCAGCAAAAGTTCCTTAGCGGGGGTAAAGTTGTTGGCGGCATTTTTCAGTCCCCAGTGTAACACAGAAACTCCTAACAGAGATGGCAGACCCCGCCCCGCGGGCAGCGCGGGAACAGGCCCGCCCAGCTTCCTGCTCGAAGCCGGGGTTCCACAGTTCTGGCCTGCCTCCTCGTAGGGACCCCAGACCCAGGACCCCACCCCTCGCGCTCACCCTCAACCCCCCACAATCACCTCTCCGGTCCCCCCCTCCACGTGACAAGAGCCGGAACCGTCACTTCCGGCGGTGCGGGCAGCGCGCCTGCGCGAGGCGCCCAGCCTCTTCGAGCGGTTGGCAGCGGCGCCGCGCCGCCAACGGCCACGAGTGGCGGGCGGCGTGGGTCCAGCTCAGGCGCCGCCGCTGGCTGCGGTCCTGACCGTGCGGGTCTAGGGAAGCCCAGCCCACTCTCCGCAGGGGTCAGCCGCCCCGCCCCCTTCTCCCTCCTGCACCCTCCTCCCGGGCTCGGCTCCGAGTGCTCCAAGAGGCGGGGGCGCCCGGGGCACTGGGGGTGGATTTGGCGTCGCCCCCGCGCTCGGGTCCGCCCCCTAACGCCCCGCCCGGTCCCCGCCCTCCCCACCGCCCTCTGCGGGAGCTGGGTAGCTGCAGCGGGGCCGCGGAGCGGGCGGCGGGGCCGGGGCAGTGAGCTTTGGGAGCGCGGAATGTGAGGCTCGGTGGCCCGAAGCACTCACGGACGCTCGGACGGGCGAGAGGCGGCGACCCCTCGCGGACGACCGGCCGTTCCGGGCTGCGGACTCGCCCTCTCGCTCGCCCTTGTGCACTCCCCACGCCCTCCAGCGCGCCGGCGGGACCATGAAGAAGTTCTCTCGAATGCCCAAGTCGGAGGGCAGCGGAGGAGGAGCGGCGGGCAGCGGAGCCGTCGGGGTCGGGGCCGGCTCTGGCTCTGGGAGCTCGTCCGTGGGGGTCCGGGTGTTCGCGGTCGGCCGCTATCAGGTCACCCTGGAGGAGTCGCTGGCTGAAGGTACGGGCGCCCGGGGAGGCAGGTGAGGTAGGGTTGGGGTGTGGCGGTGGCTTCTCCCGGTCCTCGCCCGCTTCTCTGGTCGCCTTCTCGGTTTACTCTTCTTCCCTCTCCGCATCCTCTGTTGGGCCAGCGGGGGCTCTTAAGAGTAACTCGGGAATTCGCTCTTAAGCCAGCTCTTCTCGCCGCTGGCTGCTCTGACCAGTGCAGAGCTCCCATTACGAGTTTAAGTCATTTTCGGTCCCTCTTGACGCAAGGAAATAAATAGAAAACGTCCTAGCGAGTGATGTGGGTTATGATTGGGTCAGTGACTCATTAGAGGGTCAGATCGAGCAGAATTGAGGCTCTGCTCTGCCAGCTGTGGCTCAGGCGGGTGTCATGCGTTGGCCTCTTCATCGCAGGCTCCAGCCGCGCCGCAAGGCACAGGACCCTGCAGCCTCTGGTGTTGAACCTGGTTTTGCGCCTGCTCTGTCATCAGTTGAAAAACAGTGTATTTCTGTGTGTGCGCGTGTTGGAGGTGATAATTTGCCTCAAATTCAGTTAGTAGGTGGCTTTGGGAGAACAGGTAAATTTGAAATCCCTTTATCTTTTGTTATTTAGAATCTTTCCTATTCATTCTCTTTCAGTATGTCCCTTTGGTAGTACTTTTAAGTGGTGGTATGAAAACAGGTAAACTAACTTGCGAAGTTTTGTGTTCCGTCCTTCAGTATCTTTACCAGGTTATATCAGCAGTTGCAGGTCTGCTTACAAAAAAGTTTACTCCATTTTAAAAAGAAAAAATCCTACACGTAGTTTTGTGTTATTTGTGTTATTATAATTGGCGTGTTCAAAATACTTTCTCTTGTTTATTACATGTTACAGTGACTTTTGGGTTTTTAATTGCAAAATGGTATTACAAAGTTAATACTTTTAAAAACTCATAAGAAATAATTGGTTGGTAAACAGCCCTTCTAAGTTCCAAGGTTAAGGGAGAAGACATTTGAAGAGTAGTTTTGGTTCTCTGAAAGATGATGTGGTTTGAAGGCAGTAGGCTGAGATTCCACTTTTGTTTTTTTGACATGCCATAGCAGATTAGTACAAGAGAAAAATCTGAAGGCTTTTGTCTATAAAGTATTCTAAAGGGAAAGAAATGCTGAATTATTTAGAGGTGGATGTCATTGTTTTGCAGAACTTTGCTCCTAATAATGAACCTAGCTGAACCTTGGAGAGATGGAGGAAGGATCCTTAGCTTCTCAAAAGAATGAATATATATGGCGATTGGTCATGATAGGGGCATGACCAATTACTAGGCTGTACAATTTCCTAGTCCTTCATTATGTGTGAATTTCAAGGGATGGTTTAGATTGAGTTGTAGGTTTTAGGAAGACAATGGCTGGTAACCACACATGCCATACTTCTATCTTTGAATTGTATTAAGTAATTGAAGTTGTCTTGAGTAGTACTGCTCTGACTTCATTTCACTACCGTGTCACTAAATTGCAGATGGGTCTTTTATTTACTAGAGAGAAAACACTGACATTTCTTCAAACTAGACTTTGCATTTGTAACTTCTACCACTACTCTAAACATATCCTATCATTACCCTAACCTAGTCATTTTCAATAAAATAAGTAATTTTGGAATATTAAGAATTAAAAATTTCAAAGGGAGAGTGTTGACTCAGTCGCTTAAAAATTTAAAAAAATTCAAACACTAATGTTCCACTGATTTGTCCTTTCTCTTGGAAAAATCTGTAATCAAGTGCTGGAGGAAACAAGGGTTGAAGAAACCATTTTTGGAAGATGGAACTTTGCCACCCAACACCCCACCTTCTGGGACTAGGCTTCAGCTTGCCCTGGAGAGGAGGCTGAGGCCTGGGCTCTCTTCCCTCGAGTATTCTCTCTCCAGCACATACACAACTAAACTTATCTATATTTGGTTTACTTTTTGATTCTGATAATTTATTCCTATTTCAGATGCTTAATATTCTCTCTTCTTTCCAAATAAGTAATGCCATACTTTAGGCAAGATGTTTAAGCACAAGTCTGGTTCTCATTCAAGAATGATCAATAATTGACAGGTGCATTTGTTGGATTATAAGATTAGGGCAAGTGCTTCTGAAAAGGCATTCGAGTTTAGAGTACCTGAGTTGGGGGAGCTATACCATTAAATGGAAAAATGGGTAGAAGCAGAGACCAAAAAACAAATTTGGTAGATTCAAATATTTTGCTTTAGGACTGTTGTTTAAGCAGGGCCCAAGACCCTGTAGAGCTGTGCCCTGGAGTGTTTTTACTACTGTACTGCAAACATAGCGAGATTGCTCTGAATGACCTCTGCAGTGTCTTTGAGGCTTCAGAAAATCCAGCGTACCCACATGTGTGCTCATTCTCTCTCTCTCTCTCTCATTAGTTATGTTCTATAAAATCACCGTAAACAGCAAATTAGCGAATACCGAACCATTCCTCTTAGGGGAAACACAGGGTTAGGGTACTGCAAGCCTCTGTTCACAACCAATCAATACATAACCTTGTTCTAGTTGTGTTTCTGTTTAAAGACACCTTGTTTAATATGTATTGTTGACTGATTAACATTGAACTCATGGCCAACTGCAGTTCATGCCTACATGAAGTTTAGCTAATACACCTGTGTTGTCTGTAAGGGGCATGGTGGCCTTCTTGTGCTTAGGAACACTAGACAACAAAATGCTTGGGAGCCATTTAAAAAAATAAAGTCACCAGTAAAAAGCACAAAAGTGAGAAAAACATGACACTAAATAAATCTTGAAAAGTTACTTGTTTATAATATGAGAGATGAAACCAGAAGGCACAGCATCACCTTTCTGACTCCACCTAAGCCTACTCAAAATTCTCACCACTATGTCCATGTGTGCAAATAACTGAAAGTGCCACTGTATTGATTTGGGGGATTTATGCTGATTTTGGGGGTACAAATACTAGCAAGAGGTGACTTTTCAAATATGGAATCCCCAAATAATGAGGATAAACTATATATACGTATATATATATTTATATGTATATATATGCACATGCATATTTATATATTTTATATACTTAGTTTTAAAAATATAAACAGGTTCCCAGGATTAATATACTTATGTTGTATGTTACACCTAAACTGCTGTAGTAGTTTTCTCTCTGAAATGTTATGTGCTTTGTATCATACTGTCTTTCTAGTTGAGTACATATTTGTTTGAAAATGCTGACCAATTGCACCTTTTTAGATCCTGCTCAAAGCTTAGAGGGCTGACAGTTTATAATGGGGCATTTTCATGGATTTTCTCAAAAGCGGTTTAGTTTCAGGAGTGCATGCTAACCAAATTCAGCTTTGCATTGTAGAAATGAGATGGGGGCATATATAAAATTTAGCTTGAAACAGTGTCATATTGTCAAGCACATACTTGCACAATTTAATGTAATCTTCCAAGTTCATAGTACTGGCTTTTTGATCACATGCCTCCATAAGCCTTCAGTGCTAGAGGAATTTAATATTGATTTTTAACCGGAAGAAGTTGGTTCTTGAGTAGGGGACCTTTTCTTCTAAGTGTTTTGGTTCAAAGTACAATTAACTGGTTTGTGTAGAGACTGGGACATTGTCCATAAATGTGTTGAGATAATTTAATCATGAAGTTACGGGGGTCAGATAGAAATGATATTTTGCATATGATTGGGTGGGGAAGACTATCTGATGTAGGTAGGCATGGGGATTTGGTGGCACTGTCAGTAGTTGGAGGCCAGGAATTTACTACAGAGCTCTGTGAAAGTGTAGTAGTTCTGTCAGAATTAATGGCTTAGATTAAGGGGAGCAAATTTAGGCTTAAGTGTTAATCAGTTCTTGTTAATTTTACAGGAAGTGAATAAAGGACGTTTGTTTTTGCAGTAAGAAAATAATGGGTTTAAGTATATGTCATTTGCAGAAATTATCTGTGGTTTTCCAGTAACTTGTAAGTTAAAGTCCCCAAGAGAGGACCAAGGGAACAGAAGAAGGGGAGAACTGTTACTACTCCATAACTGTTTATACAGTGCCTTTTTGTGTGCCCTGCTTTGTACTAGGTGCTATTTACACAGTGAAGGACAACACAGATGTTTCTCTGGTGTTGAGGAACTTACACATTCTAGTGTGGAAGATAAATGTTAAACAGAAATCATCAAATTAAGGTAGTTAATGCTTTTGAAAATTGCATGAGAAGAAAGCACAGGGTTTTAGGAAAGAAAAACTGATTCAATTTATAGTAGAGGATAAAGGAAGCCTTTAAAAATATTTTAGCAGAAACCTGAACTATGAGAAAAGTTGGGTAAAGGTAGGGGTGTGGAGGTGGTGGTAGTGTGGAGTATGTCATGAAGAGACAAGTCCCTACATGGGGAAGAGCTTCAGGAACTGGAATACATATTCCCAGAGCTTCGGACTATAGTAAATGTATTATATCATGCGGGAGAAGGACCCAAAATGATGTTGGAGGGGTGATCCAGGTCTTTGTATGCCATTTGAGAATTTTAGATTTTTATTTTATGATTTGATGGGCAGCTACTGAAAGATTTAAATTATTACAGTGACAGTCTTGTGGCGACTGCTGTATAGAGACTGATTGAGAGGAGCACAAATTAGATAGTTAAGATGGCACTGAGGATGGAGACAGTGTTACAATGTTTGAACTGGAAGATGAGGATTGGATGGGTGGCTGTTGTAGGAAGCGTGAACAGCGACTTGCTTATGCAAATCTTGGATGGAGGTACTATTTGCTGAAATGTGGAAGTGTAGAGAAGGAACCGTTTTGAGGAGTTGGGAGGATATCCAAAGTTTCAGACATGTTTAGTTGAGATATCTGGGAGGTAATGGCAAGTGGGAAGTTGAGTACATGGTCTGGTAGTCACTCAACAAAAGTATCTGGCTTAGTGAGCATATGACTGTTATTTAAAGTCCTACGAGAGGATAGATGTTGAATTAAACTATCAGGAAACATTGTTTCTTTCTTGTTGTCATGGAGTTAATATCTTATGAAGATTAAT